TGGCTAGATAAGTTCAGGCTGGCAAAGGGTTACAGGTGGCAAGCTAAAACCTGAAGTCAGTCTCTGTTTATCTTAACAGTGTACGACAGTGAAGATTTCCCTATTGCGGTCAGCATGACAGCCGAAAACGGTGATTGCAGACTTTAGGCGACGCGGCTCAGAACCGGTCTCAGAGGCACAGATTCATTTACACATTACCTTCATCTTAAATATCCTCTCGAATTTCATTACCAATTCATTCCTCTTCGTTCTCTTTTCGCGACTTTTGATCACGCTGGTTACTTTCTTCCTCATTTCCCTATCTCTCATTTCATTGCCTTATCGTTTGATGTGGTGATCTGAGGTGGGGTAACATGGGTTGTAAGGCAGTAATACCAGTCTTTATGTCGATACTTACTGACTGCCTGTGTTGATCAATATGTCACGTGAGGGAATAAATTTTTTTAACAAAGATAGGGTTTTGGTACATAAAATGCCTAAAAATAATTTGTGCTGTAAAACGCAAGTGACTTCTATGTTTATAGTTAGAAAATAGGAGTCAAAAATGTAAATATGCACCGAGATAGTTGGCTAATAAGCAGTGAGGTGAAAACAGTGGGACTAATTTCATCGAGCCCATCACGGGTGTGCTGTTACTAGTCTTGGTAGATGCCTTTTCAAATTAACTGGAAATAGCGAAATGGTCCCGTGAACAGAATTTAAAAATGTTACCAATTTTGGCTGACACATTTCCTTGTTATAATTTATCTAAAAACATAGATGCAGATAACGGTTCACAATTTGCGGTATGCTAATGTGCCACTTAAAAGCGGCCTGTAGTATGCAATACGACGAATGCAAGAAGTGATATCGTGACAACTGCAAGAACATGATGTCTGCAGCATACAAAAAGCGTAGCAATACAGGGAACATCTGACACTATCGACTGAGCTGCTGAAAAATCTCCATTCTCCGGAAAAGCTAAGAAACTCCTGAACACCTTCATAAAACTGGAGTCTAAAATAAGACCCAACGGTTGCGATAGTGATAATGGCACTACATCTGATAAAGCATAAATGTTTCTGAACACCCCTACAGCAGAGACAAAGTCGGTCAGGAAACCACATACAAGGTGTGATCGGGGTAACTTTGAAAATTATACTTAAGGTAAAACCAAGCGAGTATCTTCAGGTTTTCACATCGCCAGAGCTAGCAGACCTAGTTTCGAAACTACCAGTCGTAAAACCATATCACTGGCGAAAGGCATGAAGGTGAAGTACTATCAATGCCACCGATGAAGGTGAATCACAATCCCCACCCAGTTCAGTGACTCGACTAGTGACAATGCACGAACAAAAGGGAACGAAATTTCAAGACGAGGCTTTAATGATAAGGTTGATGAACTAGACCTTGGTTAGCCTTCTTCATCAAACGACTCCGAAAAATGGCAAGTAGAAAAGAATAAGCAATTTTTTAGGAAGTCGGCTATAGTCCTACAGCTATCTGACATCCCGCAATAGAGAAAAGATGAAGTAAAACTCTGTGGAAAGTCTGGGATCTTTCACAGATTTGAAGAAAGTAGGGATCTAGAACTGCATGACCGTTTCTCACACAACCTTGGCAAAGTCCGAAATTTGATTGGTAAGTTATTACTAGAAAGTATATCGGGAGTTACGCTACTCAATATCCATAAAAAGAGAAGAAAAGAGGCAATTCTTGTCAAAACCAGTGGTTGGAGACTCTAGGTGATGACATGGCTCAGAACCGATGTCAGTGGCGCAGATGTATACACACATTATCCTCATCTTAACGACACTATACCGAATCTCACCATTTTTTCATTCTTCCTTTCTCTTTTTTCGTACTTTATATTTCTTCTGACTGCATTCACTTATCTTCATCTTGCGCCTCAGTGCCTTTTTATTTGATGTACTGATATGAGATGTAGCCAGTCGGATCGTTACGCAGTATTGGCTGGTCCTATGTTGATATTGGTGATGATGATGAATTCTTGTCAAAAATAGACTTCAACTACCTTGAGTCACCTTCAAGTTAACCGAGGAAAGAGACTTCATTCTAAGGAGTGCTCCCAAACTTTAAGAAACTGGAGCGTTTATGTATCGAGGCTTGTTTCTTACTGAGCCAACTAAAAAACCGATTATCAGAAGCAAAACTGAAATCCCAGTTAGCAGTAGGAGAGTAAGGTCTAAACTTGGTAGGTTCTGCTTAGTGAGACCTCACAAACATGATCCCGAAGCCCCTGCAGATGTAATAAAAGCTCATCTCGTAAGCAAGTTCCAATGGTCTCCTGAATAAATAAATCCAGCTACATGATTTAACAGGCGTGAAACCCACGATATAATTACAGACTCGGAAATGTGGTTCACTCCTGAGATCACTAATGGTAAAGTACATTTACAAGGGTCCCATCTTTCTTCAAAGGAACAAGTTAACACGCAGTCATACTTTACATGTTGAATACCTTAACTGTAAGAGCCACTGGAGCAGTCGTACATGAAATTGGGACATATGAAATACTACGCATCATCATCATCATTATCAACATAGGACCAAGCATTACTGCGTAACGGTCCGACTGGCCACGCCTCACGTCAGTTAATCAAGTAGAAAGGTAGTGAGGCGAAGGATGAAGATAAGTGAATGCAGTCAAAAGAAATATAAAGTACGAGAAGAAAGGAAAGAGGAGTGACAAAATGGTGAGATTCAGTATAGCGTTGTTAAGATGAGGATAATGTGTGTATACATCTGCGCCACTGACATCGGTTCTCAGCCATATCATCTAGGGTCTCCAACCACTGGTTCCTCTTGTCCCGCCGACCCCAACCACTTAGTCTGCATCGTCCTACATGGCTTAAACCAACAGGCAGAGACTTCATACATTGGTGCCATGTTTTAGTCTGGCCACCTTGGGCCTGTTTACAGCCTGGATCCACCTCAGCCAACATTGTGTGACGAGGCAATCGGTGACTAGGCATACGTAGTACGTGTCCCAACCATCTCAGTCGATGAAGGTTCACAACCTCGTCAACGCTGTCGACTGGAATACAGGAGACAAGATATTAGCCAAGTCGTAACTTATTAAAGCCCTGAATGTGAGGCTGAAGACTTCCTCCTGAGTAAGGTGACTCTGAATAGATGATTCCAGATAGTAATTTGTGGGATGTTTTAATGCACCATCAATTAACTGGGACAGCCAAACAGCAGAACCAATAAGTAATTCCTTCGGCCTCAGCTTAATGAAAATATCAATTCCTTCGTCTCTTGTACAGCAAATAAGAGCAGCAAAACAATATGATAATCGGTACATCTCACCAGTTGAGGCTTCATGGTGAAACGTCAAGCAGTTTAACGCTTCAATGACTCAACGGTTTACTTTATGGACTGTCCTACATGAACGAAAATACCGTTTTCCGTGCATAAATCACAAATTTCGAAGCCTATTGCGAAGAAAGAAAACGTATTTTAGCATTAACACTGACGTTGGTACTCTCGAAATGAAGAGATATTACATAGTAGACCAGAATAAACTTATCTCAACAATCCATCAGTACTGAATGTACTTCAAAAACCGTTCTCATACATGGTGTAATAGAATACTCGACGAGACTATTATTTCGTATCAACAATAGGAGTAATACTTAGCACGGTACGCATGCATTAATTTGAGTATCAGAAACTGCCTAGTTAGTTGAAGATAGTAAGGACAAACCGGAAGCTATGGTAGAATAATTTCTGAAATATTCACCCAAGAAGATTCCCAAAAATGACTTTGGACCTGGCTTATCTCGCCTTTTCCTTCCCATTAGGTAGGAATACATCAGAGGACATATAGATTACAAAAGCCAACGACAAAATTCGTGTTCGTGTCGAGTAAACAAGACTTTGGACTCACTATCAAGAGAAATAGTTGGCTTAGTCGACAGACTCAGTCAAGAGAGAACTGAAAAAATAGATCCATTACAAGCCAATTAACGTAGGAATATAGCCATATATCCTCAAACTAGAGACTTGCATTTGATAAGTGAGTTGCTACAATTTACTTCATTTCATATTAACCAAATTTTATGCAAAATTATCATGGCTCAGCTAAGAATATGAAGCGTGAGTTAGAAGATTTAGGCTAGACCAAAAATATTTCGATGAAACGATGTGCATGTTTAACTTTTCCAAATCGTATCACGATTCAGACGAATAACACCAACTTATTGTTTTGACAAAACTCATCAATGAAGTAACTCAAAAATACTTAAGTTATAAAATAAGGAATATCAGGAAATTGTCCATTTTAGTCGTTTTCACTTGCAAAGTGAGGTAGTTAACAGGTTAAAATACAACAGCTAGTAAGCGAATCATTTTTTAAAACTTCAGTTTGCAGTGTTCTGCGCTACTTTTTTCTTAACGGAACTTCTGGTGCTATACACATTAACTTGGAGTATTGAGATACTGTGAACTAAAGGTTGATACTGCTACAAAACAGTGAAAAATGCTGGATCAATAGGTCTTATTACTGATATGTCAAAGTCATAATTAATTTTTGGAATACTCTGAGTGAATAACTTATTAAAAGAATTCTTCAGATAATCATATTAGGCCAGTGTGAAAAGAATTTCTGAATGAAAATTGTTTGACATCAAACCCATCATTAGGCTTAATGCACCAACACATTTCTCAAGTAAAAACCAGAAGCCCATCTTAACATCTGTAAAAATTCACTTGGGTTTTGTGGTTAAATGATCCGATTTTGTTTGCTTGGATGGTGGATTAACCTTCGGTGCATGAACATTAACAATACTTAACCTCAACATAAAGTGGCCTGTCACAAAACTATATGAACACAAGAGGTTTCCTCACAGAAAAAAAAGTGAACTGAAATTTAAAACTATTTATATCCAACAATTCAAACCTAGTTCACACAAAACCAAAGCACAAGAAGCATAGCAAGCGTTTTACTTCTAAAGCAATAAAGCACTGCAATCCTAGATTCAACATAAAAGACTCACCAAGAAGTTAACCTGAAGTGTAGATTACAGAAGGGAGTTATAATAGTAAGATAAATTTGTCAATTAGAAATGAGAACAGTGAGTAAAACCTTACCTTCTGGCTTCCATTTTGTGGCTTATAGTATGTTAGGCAGCTAAACAATGATTACGCTCGTGGGATTGATTGCTAGAATCTATCAGACAAGTGCTGTTTTACGTCTCAACTAAGTCACGTACAGCAAATAGAAAACACTATAAAGAAACGCGCATTACAAGTAGCTTTAAATAGTAAGTTGAAACAAACCTTCAAACCTCAAAAAGATCAAGTTTGTTCAATAGATACTTTATGAAGCTTCTATGTGACTTGCTGACTGTGTCAAGTTAAAACCACGTGGCCAAAATGGTAATCAATTACCCTACTATAGCTGAAGCTATAGTAGCAACTGTATTGTTGTTTCACTGCCTTAGGTATAAAACTTTACTTTCGAAATAGCCATTAATCTTAACCATACTACAATATAGTAATTGTTTGATTCAAGTCCACATCAGTTCAACCTCTATTATCTTTATAAGCATTCCCACAACATTTCGTCAACTTGGGGTTACGTGTTGTTTCCATGTTCGCAACCAGGGCTGTAATTATTTTTAGGGGTCAAAATTAACTGTGGTCGGAAACTAAACGTTTGTTCCTTTCAAAGTTGTCTTGGGATTAGGATAGATGAACAGACCAACCATTTGCTGTTTGCACTCGTCAAATACCTACGAGTGAAGAAACAAGGAAAAACACAATTGGGCGACCAGGTGTAGACTATTTGCCTGAAGAATCGTATCGATAATCCTGTAAGTGTAAGCCAGCTGGTCAAGGGATGGTAATCGAGTGACGCAACTTAACATGAAGGAGTGCCGAACGGCATGGACAGTTCACTATGCTGCTTCAACCTAACAAAACCTGCTGAAGTTATGGCAGTCACATCCAATGTAGGGAGCTATCGAGCCATAGTCCGGGGGTTTCGGAAAATTGTTTGCTATCACAAACCTAGCGGTGCAACCCCTTGTTCAATGTATTATGTTTAAGCATATTTAACTGGCTGCTTGACCGGAAATTCATGAGTATCACCAGGTCGCCATCATATACTGGATACTCTTTAGTATTCTGAAAAGTAGTTTCCTGCCACACCTTGTGATAGCCTTAGGATGAAGTTGATTGACGGCTAAGGCTTTGTTCTGATACCGTTAATACAAGTGACTAGGGTTCAGTAAACATTTAACCAGATCTTTATCACTGACTGAGAGACACGCAAGGGGAAGTCAGGCTGTTGTTTGTCTTACTGCCGCTGCCGTCTCAACCTCTGTTTTTCATGTTTGCCGTGGGTTGAAAAGCGAGTGTTCTAAATCACTGATTATTCCGGCCTTCAAGAAGGGTGAAAATCACACAGGAATCAGCCTGATGAACGTAGCATCTAAATTTCTGGGTTCTATGACCCTCCGACGCCTGCGTGGAGCTCCAGAATAGCAAGTCCAGGAAAACCAGGCAGGGTTTGGTCGCGGATGCGGGTGTGCCGGCGAAATATTCAAACTTTGCCTGGAGTCTGGGAGACAGGAGTTCGTTCCAGTTCAACGCCGTCAAGAACCTTAGGTAACCCCAAAAACCTATAGCCACTGGTGGCGAAGAGAATCTGTAAGCCAAGGAGCATGCGTCACCAAAGGTCCGAGAGGAGAAATCCTCTCTGGACAGGAGATATCCAAAATGTTAAGCACCACCCTTGACACACAGCCCAACATTCCGTCACGAAAGCACGCATTTTCACTGCCTGAACAGCACCCAACGTCATCCTATGCGGCAGAGTCACACTAAGAGCAGATAGCTCATGCTGTCGTCCACGATAAGCTGTCAAAGCTAAGTACGAGAAAATTCTCAGGATGCTACGGCATTCGCCTGCTTCGAAACAGTGTGTGGGTACCCTTTGTGGACTACTCTGCAATTTTTGGAACAATTCTTAGATGAACGAGGAAATGGGTCATCCCATATCCCATCTTCAAAGGGGAAAACAGGTGAAACCTGAGTTGCTAATGACCCACAGCACCCAAACTAGTAATATCAAAATGATGGAAAGCACGATAAACGACCGCATCAGAAAATATCTGGACGTGAAGCAACCACTCAGTGGTCCCCACCATAGCTTCCGAAAGAGCAGGTTCTGTGCCTCCAACTTCCTGACAGACCGTGGCTACTGGACGGTATGCTGTGACCCCAATATTCCCGTCCACGCGGTTTTCCTGGACTTCGTCAAAGCCTCAGACAGAGCCCCTCCATACACCATCCTGATGCGCAGAATGGTAGGGTTGGGTATCCGTGGAGAGGCGCTGTCGCGGCCGTAGAACGACTTATTATCATCATTATTTGTTATTTATCCCTTGGGTTCCTAATGGAACATAAGGCTTCAGTGGGACGTCTCCAGCGCACTCTGTTCTTGAAATCTTTTGAACCCGACTAATAATAATAATAATTATTATTATTCCTGAATATACAGGCACACACCATTTTTACAGGCATGAATAAGTTTATGTACAAATTACATTCATCTTCATGGAGGGTAATCTGAATCCCTACCCACTGTCACTAGAAGATATAAGTGCTGCATGTTCATACAATAGAACACCCCATCAGAATAAGTGCGGTTCCACGACAGCCCAGAAGTTCCCATTTCTTCCTCGTACAATCTCCTCCATGTCACCCTCGGACGCCCAACTCGCCGTTTCCCGTCTGGGCTCCATTCGAGGGCCTGACATGTGATGTCCCCAGTCGGCCTTCTCAATGCACGCCTAATCCATCTCCACTTCCTTCCACCTCTTTTATACAGCGGCTGAGAAGGACCTGGGTTTAATAGTGACGGGAAAACTGCACACCGGTTCCAATTACCCAAGATATGCCTCGAAAGCATACGGCGTGCTACACTTAGTGCACAGACAACAAGGTGCCCCCGCCCTACAGAGGCTTTTGAAACCCCACAAGGCCATCATATGACCCCACTTGGAGGTCCGCAGCATCCTCCCCCCACCACACCTGAAAAGAGGCACGTGCCTGCTGGAGAAAGTTCAGAGGCGAGCCACAAGGGGTGTTGTCAGGGTCTGCCAAAAGCCACGACAGGATGTGCTAAAAGACCTAGACCTGTACTGTTTTAGCTGATAAAGGTTACCAGGTGACTTCATAATGGCTTGCCAAATACTGAATAGCCCAAGTCACCCAAACAGATGAATGCTAAGGAGTGGCCACTTTGGTGATCCCCATGGAAACCCCAAGTGAACCACCAATCGAAGGTCAACAACTCGTATGCGTTCACATTTCTTCCCTCATCGAGTCTGTAGGCATTGGAATGCATTTCCAGCAGGGGTAGTCTCTGCCCCATCTGTTGAAAGTTTCAACAAAAGGCTAGATAGTTACTCAGAGACCCACAGTTTAATCTCATCTAGTTGGAATGCTAACTAGATAGAAGAAGTCAACAACTGTCGCACCATTCCAACTGCGTCGCTGTGACGGAAACGTGATCTGAAAATCCCCTAATCACCCTATTTGACGGTATTGACATTTATTTGAACATTTTTACCCTCGTCATGGATAGTGTGCCTTTAACCGTGGCTGGTGTAATATTATTTCTTTGTTCGACTGTCTTCTTTGACTTTGCACTCAGTATTTGCCCTTGTGTGATTGAGACATTTCATGAATGTTTCACTTCCCTATTATGTGAGGCTGGACTGTTGATAAAGTGGCGTTGTTATACTGCGCCCGACATTTTGTTTTGTTCCAACTTACGGTTGTGCCGTGATTTGACTGTTTATCTTTCAACTGTCCACTGGAAATGTTTATTTGCTGATTTGATTCTAGTGGACTGAGTTTTGATCCCTTTTGTGGGGAATATTCCTATTCACTCTCAGTACACATTTGTGCCCGAGAACGTTTGAACTGCATAGTTACCCAAAGGCACAGTTGAGCACCACATAATTTGTTACGAACCTGCTACTGATTTACTACAAACCGTGTTTCAAAGTTTTGAACGCAGGAACTGGTCAGACTCGCGTTACTTGGCACCGCCTAGTTATTTCCAGAGTTTAGGCCACGATTATTGGATTTTGGCCGTTACAGTCACCTTTAGACCAGTTTCCTTCTGACACCGATCATTCAAGCAATTTTTGTCCCTCTCACTCGCTGTGAATTACCCTCACCTACCTGAGTTCCACACCTCTGGACCCCTCTCTTTTTTCTTAGGCATAAACAGATTGCTCCATCGGCTCGCTTTTCTTCTTTTTTTACTCAAACACATTCGTCTTCCTGGGTCATTTCTTCTCTATCCCTAACACTTTCTGACTACCGGTCCGAACAACTGTCTGGCAACTCGACATCTAAAGAAACCAACTGCACCACAGCCCCAGGCAAACTAATCGACACTTGACCTCCTATTCTGTATACCAGAGCTGTAGCAGACGGCTGGCTGGATCCACCGCACCTGGAACCGTTCCTCGAGGCCAAGAAGCGAGCATGAAGAAATCAACTAGTTCGCACAATCTCTTCAAACAGATTCTGGACGTTGGATACTGGCTTCAATGAACAAAGCACTATCATTAATAACGAATAATTTATTCCTGCATCATGAATTTAAAGCGAGAGAAGAAGGTTTACAGGCATTATCGCACTGATATTTGTTGAAAAGTCTGCAAGCTTTAGCAGTCCTGAATGGGACAAAAAAGAGACTAGTAAACCCTACCATAACATCAAAAGGTTCTACTAATTATGAAAATAACAAGAAGAAATCACCCCTCAGCGTGTGCTCAGTAATTGATTATATATTGTTTGCAGTCATATTTTTCACCATGGGTAACATCAAGGTCACGCAATATTCCAGGTTTGCACTACATGGATTTGACGTGTTTGTTTCATCTTCGTGGTGCTACTTTACGCGAGATGAGTGTCTGTTTTTCCATAAATTCTTACGCTTATAGCTTCAGTGACCGAAAAACCCACAGTGGCGATCTCGGGAAGCAGCAAGTTATCAGTTAATCGCGTAACTCAAGTGAGCATCAGTGTTCGGGCATTTCCCATTCCCCAGGCGGCACCGACCTTAGCAACATAGATTTACGCCGTTAGAATCAGATGTTGTGGTTCAGATGAATAAGCGGCTGAAGACCTATAGACCAACGGTGGTCGGCCTTACGAACCGTTCGCTTCAAAGTGTGCAGGGTCATCAGGGAGGTATATCCGATGTTAGGTGAAGTACTAGAGAA